TTATGAAAAGCTGTGCTGGATCAGGAAGAAGTAAATGTCCCCAAAGAGCAAACACTGCAAGTTTTAAAATGACAAAATCCTGTTAGCTTAGACCAGTATTTCTCAACCTTGGCAACTTTAAGACAGGTGGATTTCAACTCCGAGAATTCCCCAGCCAGCATTCCCAGAATTCTGGGAGTTGAAGTCCATCCGTCTTAAAGTTGCCAAGGTTGAGAAATACTGTCTTGGACCTTTGAAATCTCAGGATGTGACAGCTTCTGGCCAGGTTGTTTGGGCTCAGAAGCTAAGCAGGGTCAAGCCTGGTCTGTACTTGGATGGGAGACCTCCAGGGAATCCCAGAGCAGTGGACTCAACTGAGAAGTAATGAAAAGCATCCTGGAAGAAAGCACTTGCAAGTCATTTCTGTGCTGCTGCCAAGAAAGTACACAAACGTGTCCATAAAGTCATCAGAAGTCAAGCAGAATTTCTAGGAGGCTATTTATTTAACCAGGAAGACTTTTAAAAATACCATAAAGATATGAGGACTAAGATCCTTCTCTCTCTCTCTGTAAGTCCAATGAGACTCACTTCCTTAGCCCCATCCTCTATGTCAGTGTCATCTGTAGGGTTCAGTGTGTTGTATAAAGGAGACCTGGTGCTTGAGGTCAAAAGAAGGCCCTTTGATGAGCCAGGAGGAAGACTCACCATTCCCAGCACAACTCTCTCCCACCTGGTGGCCCTCCCACGTACCCCAGGCCACTCTCTCTCAAGTCAGAAACCAGCCAAATACTCTACCAAAGTTGGTGTAGGCATTTAGAAGTCAGCTAGCTACCCCAGAGAGCTAAATAGGCTTTAAGCACTACAAAGCAGATGCTCTGAGAAGCAGACTCTCTGGGCAACAGCTGGGGCTTGATCCAAGCTGCTGCCCCTTGTAGTCCACTGGTCAGAACAGGTGCTTCATTCTGCCCACTGGATGAACATCACTCATGCTATGTCCAGCTAGGGTTAGCCAGAAACTGAAACCAGTAAGTGTCACGGTTGCATGATGACCATTCTGTATTCACACAGGACACACACCCAGTTCTGGTTAAAAAAACTCCATGCATCAGGTAAAGAAGGTGTATGCACATTTACCCTAACCATCCAAAGCAGTGTGATTTATAATTGCAACTTATAGCTGCCTGCCATCTAGAGATGGGTGTGTGTGTGAAGGCCACTGCAGAAGACCCTCAAACACAGTGCTGTCCCTGTCAGTTAGGAGTGTAAAAAGAATGGCCCAGGGATACCCACAGTGGCCCACATTGACCTTCTGCCCCTCCATCTCTCAAACTCCCATACCATCTAGTAATAGTTATTTTTCCTTTCTTTAAAAAATAATTGCAGATGCACATATACAGGAAAAAAATACGCAGCATTTCCATTTGATTGTTGGTATTCTGTAGGGCAAGTAATCTATTTAAAAATAACAGATAAATTCAACGTGGCCCCACCCACTTTTGGAGTTTGGCCACTGACAAGCAAGTGGCATGGTGCTCGAGCCAAGAGCAATTGTTCCCCCTGCCCCACTGCATGCAAGTATCCTCTGATAATGACAGCCCCACCCTCTAGTTGTAGGTATGCTTGGAAGCAGCAGCAGGCAGCCGTTGTGGGAAATTTAAAATGGCTGCTCAGAGGCGTATCAATGTCACCGGCTCCTACCATCGTGTCCTGGCCTATCAGCTACCCAAGGAAGTGCCTTGTCTGTGGCTGTCCTAGCCCTTTGGAACAGCCTCCCCACTGTCATTTGGAGGGTTCCCACACTATTAATCTTCTGGAGGGCTGTGAAGGCCTGGCTTTTTGCCCAGGTATTGGGCTAGGACGGAAGTGAGCACAGCAAATGTAGAGTCAATGGGATGTCATGGCACCATGGTGCGAGTACAAGGCCTTTTGTGAGGTTTTCTGGTTTTATTTTTATTTTTGTTTCATGGAATATTGCTGTGAGCTGCCTAGGATGATCATGTATAAGCCAGGTGGCCATAAAAGTTTTCTCAATAAATAGATGGCAGATACATCTCTCTCCCAACAGCACTGGCTGACCTTCCAAAATGGCATCTTAAGTAATTTCTGAAGTGCTACAAGTTTGCCCCAAAAGACTAGTTGTAGCCTTCGTATGAACAGGAGAATTGAGAAGAAGTGACAGTGCTTTTGCATTGCTGACTGAAAACTTATCACCTGGAAAAGCCAGAAGTCAGAACTGGAAGCAGACGCTGGTGCTTGGGTTGGAAACGGTGACCTTCAGTGTTGCTCAAGACTGTTTATTTTATGACACACGCAAAATAAAGTCACAGTCTCCTTAGAGGAAGCACTTGACAACCAAGAATTTGGACTCTGTGCTTTGCTTCTGCGACACTTGTACTAAACTGGGTTTTAATACAGTTAAATTCCCTTACTCCCCAGCAAAGATGTGGCTTGTAGTCCAATGCATAGAGAACATACCAGGATAGAGAAGTCTGTGGTAACCTTTTTTTTCAGATATAATAGAAAATACTCCTCCCCATTCAAGCCCTGATTACTTCAAAACTGGAAGCTTTAAGAAACCAAAAGACTGCAACAATGTAGGGGGCCACTTCTGTAGACTTTACCTGGTGTATTCTTTTCACTTGTCCGCAGATGGAATAGTCATCGAGAGATGACCGAGTGGTACCCTCATGACCTGGCATATCAACACAAATCAAGTGAAGATTTTTTGGAAGAAACTGTGGAGAACAAACACAAGCAGAAGATATTTTATCATCAAAAACAAACTTGAGCAACATTCCAGCTATGACCATTATTGTAATACAATCCTGGTTTACACATTGTATTAAGCCACAGTTTATTTAACAATAGTTTACTGAAAACAACTGTAATTGGCTGAGTTTGTACAACATGCTAAGCCAAAATTAAGCAAAGCATATTTTGGCTTAGCACAACATGAAAATCTAGCCATGGAGTTCAACAGCCATGTATTGGCCACAGCTTGGCTCAGCACAAAGCATTCTGTAAAATAGGAAATGGCAACTCTTTCCCACTGGGAGGTTCCGTTCCAGGTCTGTGGGCCACATTTGGTCCTTTAGTTTCTCCTCCTGTACTGTAAAACATAACAGTCTTCTTACAAGAGAAAGCACAGTCATGCACACTCCATCAACCTCAAGTTCTTTATGTGAATCCATGCACCCAAACACATGGCAGTTTTTAAGACACATTAAGTAGATTTTATGGCCCAAGAACTAAGTCAGGATGTCCTCTTTTCTGGGCTCAACATCATAATTCACTTCCAAACTTAGCAAAAAAGCAGCCACATCTGTACCTGAAGGATAGGTATGTGAATGAGTGACTATTCATATTTTCCACAGACCTAGTAGAACCAAACATGTTTGCGCAGGGTATCTGCCTTCCTACCGTAATACAGGGATGAAGACAGCAAAGGTATCTTCTTTTACCCATGCTTCCAGCTGGTGACCATCCTAACAAAATGTACATTATCATAACCCTGGGGTTGATTCATACACTATTTTTGAGAATACAAACCTACTGTTCTAACACAAATATGGATTGTTATATCACATAGCTACATTCCATGTTAATTTCAGCCATCCCATTGCAGGACGAGATAATAGCATGGGCCACACAATAAAGACATTTAGTACAGTGAAGGTCAGCTACACAAAAAAAGAAGATTGAAGATGACTCATCCATTGTTCAGGTGACACTTGAATTCCAAGGTGGAATTGTTTTACTGTCAGAGAAACAGAAACATACCTTGACAACAGAAAGCCACATATCTTTGTGGGCCGAGAACCCATGCAACATGAGTATGGATGGTCTGTGGCTGGGTCTTCCTCGGTAGGAATAGCAAAACTGGTAGTCACCACTATGCGCATATTTCACCTGCATGCCCAGGGCTCGACGCCAATACCTGATAACAGCAAAAAAAACATGACAAAGGAGAATTGCAATGCAATGTGTTCAGTCTGAATCTGGTTTTGCTTCTCCTCTCTTCTGCTTCCCATTGATCCAACACTATTCACCCCATGGCATGCTTCTACCAAGGTTTATGTTGTTGAACCAGCATGGTGATTATTATGGAATCAAAAAAAGGTTTAAAATTATAAGTTGTTCAATGCCAGTGTTAATTTACCAAAAATGATTCCTGTGATGCTGAGAATCTTCTATAAATATTGACTGTTCTAGAGATAATATAAATATCATATATAACAAAATATATATACAATGTAGTTGAATGGTAAAATCAGACACTGGACCACAGAGTGCATAGCTGATGCAAAACTGTCTGGGCACTCACTGGGTGCTTCTGTATCTGGAGCCTTCAATGCTTTCCTGTCCAAATTTCTAGGTTCCTCTTTGGATCTGCCTCCTGGTTGTTCTTCAGCCCTGACTTCTGGCTTACGGTCCCCTTACTGGACTCAGTCATGCCTATACTCATCACTAGTGTGCTGGCATGACCCTCTATAGCTTTTCTTTTTGTAAGCTTTTTGTAATTGTTGTAAATAAGTTAATCAAATACTTAGAAAAAAATTACATACATATGATTTATTCATTTCATCTAGGATGACAATGGAGGGTATATTGTCATCATTCCATATATATCGAATGGCTGACTTTTGAAATATTCTAGTATTTTAGGAGTGTAATCTTCTTGTCACAATTTCAATTTTGTAAATTAATAACATGGATTCAAATTCACTGATGTAATGTTTATTCAGATACAAATGAGACAGACCAAAGGTATTTTTGATTTATACTCTTAAAAGAGAGTTAAGATAGCCACTTCCTATATGCATTGCAGCATTAACAAAATATTAGCAAGTAGACTTGTTGGCAAGTTTTTTTAAAATATCTTTCTTGTTACATACCCTCTTTGTTATGGGGATATTCTCCTTTACTATCCTTTTGTTCTGCTGCCACCACTAAATCCCTCTGCTAGTTTAGAAATTCTTTAAGTCTCTAAGAATAGAACTGGGTAGAGAAGATGGGAGATAGCATAGATACTTGGATAACATAGGAACAAAGAAAAAATGGACTTTTACTGAATAACTAAAAATAGGGACCTTGAACAATTGTCTATAACCTGTCAATATTAACCTACATGAGCACTAAAAATATCCCTAACCTGCCTCCTGACAGGGGGATGTATTTCCAAGCTGGGACTCCAAAGGTGTCCAAAGTGTGGGTGAGTCAAAAAAGTCAAGATGTTGGCCATGGCCACACTATTGTAGCCCTCTCTCTTTTATATGTGCGTTGTGCATGTGGTGCATGTAAAAAACAGTACAGGGCTTTAATAACATAGTCATGGCTGCCATCTTGGCTTTTTTGCCCCCCTGCCCCTGAAGATGCCCCTGATAAAACTCTGAGCCTTCCTCACATCTCTTCTTCCACATAGACATCCCAAATACCCTTCTATGGTTCACGCCTCCTGTTGGAATATAAACTAGTGTGCCAGCCTTTGATTGGCAGCTCTACCACCGAATCATCACACACTTGCCCTTGCAGGAGCCATTAGATTAATTAGTAGCTCCAAGGGGAATGATAAAGCTGTCAGGAGGGTCAGGGAGGGTAAATCAACAGGAATCTCAACTCATTGTTCCCAAACCCCAATCAAATCCTATGCACCAGAACACACTGATCTCTGGGATACCACAGGCAGTTTAAGATATATCTGATAAGGCTGCCATTAAATGAAAGTGGGATCCAAAGGACTGAGATCTCCTAAAGTATATGATCTCAATCACTTTTTGTACCCTGGAGGTCCTGTTTTAAGATTTATAACATCACGTCTTGAGTCTTCTTTACGCAAGGGAGAATTTGTTTCTATGTACTGTCAAAGGCTTTCACGGCCAGAATACAATGGCTGGTGTGGGTCTTCCGGGTTGTGTGGCCATGTTCTGGAAGTTTTGTTTCCTAATGTTTCGCCAGCATCTGTGACCGGCATCTTCAGAGAGCAGGAGCACAGACAGGAGCAG